GAGCCTGAACACACCGGGCTCCACACACCGAGCCTGACAGGCCCTGAACACACTGCGCTCCACACACAGAGCCTGAACACACCGGGCTCCACACACAGAGCCTGAACACACCGGGCTCCACACACCGAGCCTGACAAGCCCTGAACACACTTGCGTCCCAGACTGGCCAGCTGTAGAGAGCAGCTACAGTAGAAACGCAGGTCAGTTTCAAAGTCAGCGTGTAAAAACAGAATCTGTTCGTGGATAAACCAGATCAGCTACAGCCTGAAACTGCTGCTGGACAGCACCTCTGATCCAGCCCTGGAGCTGAACACAACTGAGCTCATGGGGCAGGAGGTGACGATCGGAGACAGGGGCCCACCACCCCTCCTCTGTGCCTCGGCTTCCCGGACAGCAGCCTGGGCAGCGCTGGCACACTCACCCCAGACCGGCCCAGGATCACCAGGCTGTAGACTGTGCCCACCGCAGCTGCAACACACACAGGGTTATAGTGAGAGGTGGGAAGGGACGGGCAGAGGGAGGGCAAAGGGCTCGAGAGAACGTCTACAGGACATTATCAGCAGCACAGGGCTGCTGCGACTGCAAGGCCTCGGCCCCGAGCTTCGCTCCACTCTGCCCTCTAGTGTCGCAGCTGGGAGCTGAGCAGCGCGGTTACCTAGCAACCCCAGGAACAGCAGGAACTTCATGGAGTCACTGTAGAAGCGGAAGTTGATTGGCTGGGGGTACATGATGGAGCTCACCAGATCCCCCTTCGCCGTGAAGAAGCCTGGAACACAGACGCACGGACAGGGGGAGTTAGTGTGCTTTCTGGGAATGACAGGTGGGACACCCCCACCCTAACGCTGACATGCTGAGTGTCACCTGTGTGTTATACACCTGGGGCGTGGCTTATCTGAGATTCACATCTCCTTGTGTGTGTCACCTGCTGGGACATGTCTTATCTGAGTGCGAACCTGTCTGACTGCCTGTGCAGCTGTGTGCTTCCTGCCGTGTCTCTGGGTCTTCTGTGGGAGTTACCTGGCGGTCTCTCCAGGCAGGTCTCACCTGTGCGGGTGACCACAGCAATGGCGTTCACCTGGCTGGCTCCCTTGGCCTGGATGACCTGGGTCCCGCAGAACAGCGTGTGTCGCTGGTGCGCGTCTGGGGAGTACAGCGCGGTGCCCTTCAGCAGGGGGGTCTTCATGACGGGCACGCTCTCCCCTGCCAGGGCACAGGAAGGAGCTCGGTCAGGGCTGCCTCAGCTCGCAGAGCAGTGCTCTAATCACGCAGGGGGCTGATGGGGAGGAGGATCGTCAGCCTCCGCAGTCACCAGCGACACACAGTGACTCCGGTCCCCACTGTGTGCTGCTCTGGAAGACTGGGAGACTGGGGGGACTGGGGGCACTGGGAGACTGGGGGACAGAGGGACTGGGAGAGTCTGGGGGAATGGGAGACTGGGAGAGTCTGGGGGATTGGGAGGGTCCAGGGAGACTGGAGAGACTGGGCAAGCTCCACGGGTTCAGGCCGAGCGATCGTGGGTTGTATCCTGCATGTCTGACTGAGGTCCTCTGGGAGGGAGCAGGAAGACAGAGGACTCCTCTGGGAACAGTCTGTGTGGCTCCCCCACCCTCACCTGTCAGCAGGCTCTCGTTCACCATGCACTCGCCCTCCAGCAGGGCGGCGTCGCAGGGCAGCAGCAGCCCCTCTGGGGGGACCAGCAGGCAGTCCCCGGGCACCAGGTCCAGCGAGTTCACACTCTCCTCCTCTGCGGGTGAGACGGCACAGACGGGTTCAGAAGCTCGCCGACACTCGCAGTCAGACTCGCACACAAGCGGGCCGTCTGTGACTGGGAGACTCACCCCCGCTGGCCCGGCGCACCAGCACGCTGACCACCAGCTGGGCCATCCTGCGCAGAGTGACGCTTTGCTGTGGACAGACAGCAACATCGACACACTGATCACTGAGACACTGAGCACAGATACACCCTGATCACC